ATCTCATGTCGCTGAGCCCACATCCAGGTCTTATCTCGACTCCCTTCATCATCGTCTATAGCGCCAAGAACTCCTCATAATCGATCACACCGTTACCATCCGTATCAACCTTAGTCACACAACTCAGCAACCTCAGCGTCCAAATCATCATCATTGGTGGAGGGACTATACGCAAGGATCGTCCTGTGACAAAGACTTTTTATATGTAAACCCCACCGAGCAGCATAATCTAAGCTCAGGCTAGTGAGGTGAAAAATGTGTCGACGGCCTATGGAATTGAAAGGCGAGGAGAAAATCCATAAACTACTATAAGCTATTCAGGTGTCTCTTAAGAGAATTCGCACACAGCCATCACCAGACACTCATACTCCATCTCATGAAAAGTAATTGTCATTTCACTTCGTTTCTTCAATCAATTCACTGGAGGGACGGTTCTCAATAGAAATCCCCTCCGAGTCTGAGTGTCTCACCTGAGCTCATCTCTGGAAATCGTCCCGTTGCCGTCGATGTCGAACCTTCCGAAGATTTCTCGCATTTTGTCGCGGAACATTTCAGAGCGCATATGGACGGCCGCGGCCAAAAACTGTGAGTATTCGACTTCAAAATCATCGTCGTCATCGATAATCTAAAGAAAGTACTATGAGGTGTTCGAACCAACGACCTTCCGATGCCAATCCAACCCACCTGTCCCTTTCCACTATTCACACTTTTACCTAACATGCGAAACACAGAATGCATGCCCTTCCGATTGGTTGGAGCGATAGCTCGAAGAAGTTCAGAGAATTGTATGACTCCATCGTGGTCAGCATCGATCTTCACGAAGGTCTTCTCCAAATCATGCACCTTCGGTATAAGAAAAGAAGACATTTCACACAATTCTCAAACTTTCTGCAAATAATGGCGCTCAATGACATGTGGACGGCGGAGTCTTCCGATAGTGAACTCCGATGAGATAGAACCCGAGACCTTCCGATTACTCACTTCTCGCGACGTGAGCCCCGACGCCACCATATTCAACGCTGCTTTTCTCAACGAGTTGGACATTGCATACCGCCGCATACTTTCCAGTACATTCCAAGGGAGAACTTCATCTTCCACTGAAGTGATTAGCATAAACATGATAACCACATCCTCCAAAACACATCGTCAGCTGCTGCCCGGAGGAACGAGGCAATTGATCCAATTCTTGTCTACTCTCAACCACTGTACAGCGTTCGCCCTATCCTCATTTGAGAAGGGCCCATTCATAATAGCATCATCATTTGAGACAATGTGAAAACTCTTAACGAGATCGAGGCCGACCAAATAAGATAATCTCACCTCCACCACTCGGCAGCACCTGATGATGATGATGATCCCTATCCTTCAACATCTCAGAGATCCATGGATGATCCAACGCCTGTCGGGCACTAAAACGTTCGGGGGGATGGACTTGCAGACATCCCCTCAGGAAGCTCCTCGCAGCCTCCGATATGTAGTTGAACCGGTCACCGCTGAGGTATCTGCAAGTGGATTAGATCATGATCGTCGATTTGAAGCAACAGCAGTTGATAATGATGATTACTCTCCAGTACTCCGGTGTCGGGCGATTTTCCTCATTTCTCGAAGTACGTCACCCGCATTAGGTGAGTCGAATGGCATCTTCCCGATTAGCATAAGATGGCAGATGACACCAACCCCCCACAGGTCGCATTTAGCGGATATTCCCGCCGGCCTGAACAGTCCAAAGGAAGGTATGGCGCGAGAAAGGGGAGGAACATCATATCGATGAGATCCGATCACGCACTCATACAAGCTGGTTGACGGGATCGAACCATCGACCTTCGGAATAGAAGACCTACCCCCTATCCTCCTTATCTATACCACTTCTCTCGGCCTCATCGTTCAACTCCCCCTCCCCGAAAACGCTGACTCGTCGTTGGATCGGCTTCCGAGATTCCCATTCGACCTCCAAGCACTCCGGTGCCATGTAAGACAGAGTCCCTCCCTAAAGTGGGGAATCCAATGACCCCGGTTCGATCCCCCCATCCATGCATTATTACTGCAATTGATTTACTCGAACCTATACGACGTGCCAAACCGAAATCGAAAAGCTTCAGGCGACGATCAGGACAATCGATCACATGATGAGGATCTGAAAAATGAGAAGATTCAACCGCTTCAACTACTTCGAAATCGAGGAGGACGTCGGTTCGATCCCTGGTAGGTCCACTTCGATACTCGAAAACTAGCGAGCTTTAACACCTGTAACAACGGGACAACCGCAAGTGAACATAAAGTGACTCGGCTTGATATCACGATGGACCTAAGTTGAAAACCGTCTTATGCCGGGATTGAACCCGGGACCTGCCGATTACGATATTCGAGGTATGAAGGTAGTTGATCGCGTAGAGGATCTGAGTGATGATATCAGCGACTTCAGGTTCCGTAAAATGACCACCACAACTAAATCTGAAGAAGGATATAAAACTGCCCTTGCTGGGTTTCGAACCACGGACCTCTGATGAATGACCTCATGTAGATCAGGACCCCGACAGAGCTCCATCACCAAATGCACCTACGAATCGAGAAGTCCCTCGTCGTTCGAATGCGGGGAAGGAGCACCATAGTAGGCGCCTCGAATACGTATGCAAGCCGACAGATATTGGGATGGTCCACTGAGAGGAAGATCTCCACTTCGTTGAGTAAAAAATTGGCCTGCCACCGTGACAAGCCCTTCTTAGTCAACGACTTCAATGCAAATCTGATCTTCAAAAAGCCACCTAGAGGGACTTGGTGCGGTATTCTAATACTTAATAATCAAACCCAGATGCAATTCTGGCTTTCACAAATCAAAAGGACAGTGCTGGGGATTTCAACATCATGCCAAGAACGCAGTGTGAAGAGTTATCGACCTGTTTCAGCAACCTACTCTTCCCCAGTCCTTTTATGAATCACTTTTCTCACTGTCGCTGTCGCCCCATGTCCCAAGACCTACATGTAACGAGTAAAATAGCACAATGGTCATGTTGAAGAACCAACATGCGTAAGACCCCAAGATCAACCCGAGCAGCTCACTTCTTGCGTAACGACGAATACTTTCGACAACGGGCATGTCATCAGCCTCGACAATGAAGATGTTGCCAGACGCTGAACTCGCCTGTTCGAAACTGATTAACAAACTCCATCACTTCAAAGCCCTAGAATAAGCCACCGACTGCCGTCAACACCCTCGAGCCAAGAAGAAATGATGCATGATCGCGGCAACATCACAAACTCCGTCAACATGGCAAAAGTAATAACGCCAACGTTACTTGGATGATCCCTCAACGGAGCCCTCAGCAAGCAGGCAGGCTTACATCTCCTCCCAGAATGACGTCGTGCACCGTCTGCAGTAGTACTCTCATTATCCGCTACTATCGATAAGGTCATCGATCTAATATAACAATCAACCAAATATACGACGCCACATATATCCGATTACAACCGGACAATTCCTCAGATATTCCAAATAATCTTATTAACACCTACTCTAGCTGTTAACACTTTTACAAGCATTCCCCCACTCAGACTCCCCTCACCTCTTTTTCCTCTGCTGCTCATCCGACTCCGATTCAATTGTCGCTCGCGGTATCATCTATTAAACTAATTCTAAGATGCCCTATTGGAGGAGATACCGTCGAATGATCAGAAGCCTATGCTGCCACCACCACGGCCACCACGAGCAGAGCTACCGAAGATTTCCCGTTCGATTCCCAGCGACTCCATAATTTATTGAACGAAAATATCTTGGAGAGTGAATGAGAAGTTGTATAACATACTTCGCTTCGCTCCGCCGTTAACCGACAGGTATAAGCTGAAGTTGAGCTGGAAGTGGTGGATCACTAGCGAAGATTCCTTGTCGAATTACCTACAGAATGACGACTACAACGAGCAAATGGCCAAGACAGGATCGCCAGGGATGCCCAACTAGTTACTTTTTGTAAATTGGGATTCTCTATCGCAGCCTGACACCGTTCCTTGTCGTTTAGTTGTTTATTCACTTGCTCTTCCTGATCATGTGTACCTAGTCATAATCCAGTGCGAACCGAAAAATATAACTATAGCAGCAGATTCATTTGCGTTGACACACCAACTATGCTCCCTCCTCTTCCTCTCCTTATTGGGATCGGACAGCAATCTATACCTTTGAACCCAATTTTACGGAGTATGAGTAACTTATTCCAAAAGCATGAGGAGGATATAATCAGCACTCGAACATTACCATCAAACCGCAATGATGATGAAATTTGAAGTGAATGACTAAGTTGAGATGTAGCCGAATTTCCATCCGGAAGTCTAGGAGAAGGGAGGAGGGATACATTTGATCATAACGATTCCACGTCGATCGACATTCATCACCAAGTTCGCCTCAACGAATACCACACCGAAAGCGGAAAATATTGTCAATATATTCATGGCGCGCGACATCTTCCCCAGTCCTACCTTCCTTGATGTTCACATTTATCTTGACATTTCCATTCGCCCCACAAACGCATTTCTGCAGTTTCGTTCGGATAGTCAACCCAATTAAAGTGGCGACGGAACATGTTGGTATCTAAATCGAGTACGCGATCGATTTGACGGCGTGAACAATTATTATACTACCGTTGGTGTGAATTCAACATCGATCCTGGTGATGCCATCCGTGAGCCCGTTGGTGACTTGTATCTGTGAATAACATCATCTCAATCAAATACAACGAAACTTCCCGGGAAAACAGTCGAATATTCGTCCAAGTTGTACCGATATATCATTTTGACCAATCACTGGGAGCATCAACGACTCGCAAAGACTTGCTCAGGAACAGTGGGGAATATGCACATAATCAATTACATGTGTTGCTGACAATATGAAAACATTGAGCAAATTTTGGGAAATTCTCATCGAATTCTGTACACCCGTACATAGACTCTTGTAATGGAGGAAAGCGAACATGTACTCCTCCAACATTGAGGATCCACCTCAACCGTATCGGTCTCATTCTAGTAGTCTAACGCTAATAAAAAGGACTCCGCCTGTTATTAATGTTGCTTTTCGTTATTAACTCTTCCGGGCGACTAAACGTTACAAACATCAGCCAAAATCTACTCATTTGGTGCATCTCACCAAAACACGGTTGAAATGTAACGTTCAAAAAAGTATTCCTAAATACTCGAAGAATAATTTGAAAAGGAGAAGGACGATTAATTTTGCTCGATGACCGTAACCAAGATGCCAAGTATTGAGATTGAATCCGTGATACTACCTGTTCTGGTGTCACCACTCGTAGCTGTTCTAAGGAGAGCGTCGGGTGCTCTGGGTCTCGCAAACGACGAATTATTTCAAAAACCTAAGGATACTTATCGAGGGCAAATGCTCGAAAGCCTTTACCGACAATACCCTTTTACCTCTACTGGTGTGATAGGGTCAACCTCGGACTCCTCCACTTTATCCCAATTCTCGATTTCCCCGAGGGAAAGGCTCCCGAGAAGATCTTCACATTCCGAATCGGACGAGTACACCAACGGATTGGAGTTATCGCCGAGAGCAGCAGCAGCAGCCATTATAATCTACACTGAAAATATCGTACTCGCTTGTAGGACATTCAGTGACATGTCTGTATACAACTTGTGGGAGGAGGTTGAGTAAACTTGTTGTGTGGATATGAAGTAATCCTAGATCCGTACTTGACGACGAGCAGAATTGACGTAAAATAATTAATTTTTGATTTAAATATTTGATTTTTTCAATCAATAAATCAAATTTTGAAAATTAAAATTGCGTCGATCCTTTGCGAGGAGAGTGGTATACACGTATGGACGATGATTCGTGAGAAGACGATAGACAAAATGTGTCACGCGCCACGAAATTACGCTCGTGCTAATCTGAAAGATTCATGTGACATCAGTCGACACTTGTTCTGCCATTCATATTCCCCTCAACATATCGTGGTTAATTGTGTAAATTATGGTAATAGAATTACCTTCGAGTTTTGGAATCATCATCATCATCATAATTTCGTCGTTGTACAACTCTACCATGTTCAGATGTATGAAGTATGTATTGCGGTTGCCCTTCGTTTAAGTTCATGTCGGAAGTTTCATCTCGATGAGCTTCCAGGATTGCGGTACGACCCGTATAGTTCTTTCGTGTGTGTGAGGAATCTTTTTATCTGTATAGTGCCAGGGTCGCACTCCATTTCGACAACAGTCAAATACGACAATGTGCTGTCGAAAGTAAGCTGTCCTAAATAATTGGCGAAAACGCATCCGTTGTCGGATTCGACAAGTGCTCAGTAGGTGTCGAGATGGACAACCGCTATCACTTTCGACAATCGAAATGTTGTCTAAATTGATTGCGCGCGCCATAGTGTTGTGTGGTGTCTAAACTTGTCGTAAACGAGAATGTAACTCCCCGAAATCGACAACTCTGTTGATAGTTTGGTTTCTGAAGGCGAATGGAACATAGACATCGGTTTTGCGGAGGTTCGATAGTCTAACTCGAGGGAGTCACTGCTAGGAAGCAGATGACCAAGGTTCGATTCGCACAGATGTTATGTTCTGAGGCGCGAGTCGGTGTTTGCGAAACATGTCGTAGCGGTGTATTTAAACTTCCAATTTTGAGGAACAATTCATGTTGATATGATACAGCGGGCTGAAAGTTTTGTGTACAATACGAATGTTGACCAGTCAAATCGCTTCAGGGTTTTGTAATACCGACACGGCATTATCATGTTATGCGTTTCCGGAGAATATTTCCTCAGTGAATCGTTTATCGAATTCACGCGATCATTTATCGTTCGTATCCCACTGTTCATCTCCCGTCTGGAGAACTCAGTGTTTCTTTCTCTCACCCCAGTTGTCAAGGCATAGAACACAATACCTCACGGATCAATGATTGACTAACATCATATTAATATGCTACATGATGAATTAAAACCCTCTATTGAAACCTCCAAAGAAAGGAACAGGAAAGGAAAGGCGCTTTACCTTGACATTTATCGTATCACTAACATGGCAATGTCAACTAGCAAAAAAAACTGAATATCCCCAGGATATCATGGAGAGAAAACCCCCATAATCACCATATTCTTTTCTTAATTGCAAAGAAATGAAAATGAATCTCAGAGTTACGAATCGAATCTCCTTCACCACACGTTTCAGATCATTTCGGTTATGTGATTATGAAAAAAACTTTCCCCGAAAAGAACATCGCGAAGTCCACAAAATAACTTGAGGTCTGTTCTCTGTCTGAAAATCTTCACTATTGTGAGCTTATACTATGCCGTCTCGAAATTCTCGTTTAGTCGGGTTTGTTTAAATAAGCCACTACCACTTCCCGCTGTACCTAAAGAAATATCTCCGTCCAGTCTGGCGAAATATGTACATAGTCAACTGCACTTGTTGATGACGACGTGAAAATTGGGGGAAAACTAACGTGCACTCCTACTCTGAGTCGTGTTTGAGTTGTCATGAGTGAGAAACCTCGTTGAGAGAACCAATCATACGAATACATTGATACCCCTTCTCCAACCGACCTACCCGTAGCGACTTCCGTAAAATTGGGTTGACCACGAAGATGGTAGATTATATGAGCCATTGGTGAACCGTTAATCGACTATAACCAGCCGAACAGAAAAGGGGAGAAAGAGGGACGCTCTAAGGGTACTGCCGTAGACTGTTGCCTCCTAATCCCACCGATGTGGGGAATGCCGTGGAGCGGGCTACTGCAACCCGGGACCATCAAACACCAGTTACCAATTTGCTCACCCTCAGTTTGATGATCAAACTTTGATCAAGTCGGGTACGAGTCGTGCCATACGACCATTGCCAAGTTCTATAATCGCCACTCAGTGAGAATCGCCGACCCCAAAATACAGGATATCGACTATCGCTGTGCTGTCACAGCACAGTTTTGGTACCCGGGGTACCCCATTCTCCCCCAAAAAATCTTGAAATCCACACTGAGGATCCAAAGCATGCCATCTTCACGTGAAAGCGAAATCGATTGTCAAGACAAGCGAGAAAGCTACCGTTTTTTAGTCAACTGCTGGCTTTTGAGGATTCACCGGAGACTAGCGTGTTAAATATCCCACTCCTGGGCGCGTGGGTCTGGTGGGCTGGAAGGCCGGAGACGTCTGCGGCTTCCAGCCCTCTAAGCATCGAGTCAGTCCGACGGGCGCCTTTATCGGCGCCGCGCGGGTCGCCGGTCGACCGACCGATGCTTGCTCCCGGGAGTGGTGGGCTGGGATGAAATAAGTTATGCACGGCATGCACCGGCTGCCTTCGTAATGTCGTGCTGATGTTCGCACGTACGTACGAACCGTTTCGCTACGCACGCTGAACAAGGACAGTGAACGCACCACGGATGATACGCACGCGTGCTGCCAGTGCGCCCGGTGTGACGCGCCCTTCGTATCGGTATTTAACCTGTGTTAACTTGTTAACTCGTATTAAATATCCCACTCCTGGGCGCGTGGGTCTGGTGGGCTGGAAGGCCGGAGACGTCTGCGGCTTCCAGCCCTCTAAGCATCGAGTCAGTCCGACGGGCGCCTTTATCGGCGCCGCGCGGGTCGCCGGTCGACCGACCGATGCTTGCTCCCCAAACCAGAACCCGGCCCAGGTGAACGCGACATGAGCATCACAGCGAAACATACAGCTCAAGCAATGAGGGCGTCATGCGTTTAGTGTGTATGATGGGCGATCGTAGCAGCCAGTTACCATCGCACGGGCATAACGATGTTCGCACACTTTGGCCACACCGTGGAGATAGCGATTCCCGAGGGTATCTAGCGTTG